TATATATATATATATATATATATATATATATATATATATATATATATATATATATATATATATATATATATATATATATTAATAATTCTAACACAAATTTTCTCAATCTTTCGTACATTACGCTTCACTGTTGGAGGTAAATCAAAAATCACTTCTCCAAAATTCATTTTTATTTCTAGTCTGACGCGACACGGGCGCGTTTCGTAAAACTTATTACATTTTCAAAGACTTCACAAATACACAACTGATTAGAACTTACGTCTCTCTGATATTATATCTACATTTGAGTGAGGTGGGAAGGGTGATGTGGCATTAACACAAGACAGAACAGGAGGGGATATTAATAGGGTATTAAAAGTATCAACACAAGACAGAACAGAAACAATGGGTATTGAATAGAAGTGTTTGTAGAAAGCCTATTGGTCCATATTTCTTGATGCTTCTATATTGGAGCGGAGTCTTGAGGTGGGTAGAATATAGTTGTGCAATAATTGGCTGTTGATTGCTGGTGTTGACTTCTTGATGTGTAGTGCCTCGCAAACGTCAAGCCGCCTGCTATCGCTGTATCTATCGATGATTTCTGTGTTGTTTACTAGGATTTCTCTGGCGATGGTTTGGTTATGGGAAGAGATTATATGTTCCTTAATGGAGCCCTGTTGCTTATGCATCGTTAAATATATGTATATACATACACACACACACACACACACACACACACACACACACACACACACACCACACACACACACACGTATGTACTCACCTAGTTGTGCTTGTGGGGGTTGAGCTCTGGCTCTTTGGTCTCGCCTCTCAACCGTCAATCAACAGGTGTACAGATTCATGAGCCTATCGGGCTCTATCATATCTACACTTGAAACTGTATGGAGTCAGCCTCCACCACATCACTTCCTAATGCATTCCATTTGTCAACCACTCTGACACTAAAAAAGTTCTTTCTAATATCTCTGTGGCTCATTTGGGCGCTCAGTTTCCACCTGTGTCCCCTTGTGCGTGTGTCCCTTGTGTTAAATAGCCTGTCTTTATCTACCCTATCAATTCCCTTGAGAATCTTGAATGTGGTGATCATGTCCCCCCTAACTCTTCTGTCTTCCAGCGAAGTGAGGTTTAATTCCCGTAGTCTCTCCTCGTAGCTCATACCTCTCAGCTCGGGTACTAATCTGGTGGCAAATCTTTGAACCTTTTCCAGTTTAGTCTTATCCTTGACTAGATACGAACTCTATGCTGGGGCTGCATACTCCAGGATTGGAGTGACATATGTGGTATACAAAGTTCTGAATGATTCTTTACACAAATTTCTGAATGCCGTTCGTATGTTGGCCAGCCTGGCATATGCCGCTGATGTTATCCTCTTGATATGCGCTGCAGGAGACAGGTCTGGCGTGGTATCAACTCCCAAGTCTTTTTCTTTCTCTGACTCCTGAAGAATTTCCTCTCCCAGATAATACCTTGTATATGGCCTCCTGCTCCCTGCACCTATCTTCATTATATTACATTTGGTTGGGTTAAGCTCTAACAACCACTTGTTCGACCATTCCTGCAGTTTGTCTAGGTCTTTTTGAAGCCTCAAACAGTCCTCTTCTGTCTTAATCCTTCTCATAATTTTGGCATCGTCCGCAAACATTGAGAGAAATGAATCTATACCCTCCGGGAGATCATTTACATATATCAGAAACAAGATAGGACCGAGTACAGAGCCCTGTGGGACTCCACTGGTGACTTCACACCTATCGGAGGTCTCACCCCTCACCGTAACTCTCTGCTTCCTATTGCTTAGGTACTCCCTTATCCACTGGAGCACCTTACCAGCTACACCTGCCTGTCTCTCCAGCTTATGTACCAGCCTCTTATGCGGTACTGTGTCAAAGGCTTTCCGACAATCCAAGAAAATGCAGTCCGCCCAGCCCTCTCTTTCTTGCTTAATCTGTGTTACCTGGTCATAGAATTCTATTAAGCCAGTCAGGCAAGATTTACCCTCCCTGAACCCATGTTGTCGATTTGTCACGAAGTCCCTTCTCTCCAGATGTGCTACCAGGTTTTTTCTCACGATCTTCTCCATCACCTTGCATGGTATACAAGTTTAGGACACTGGCCTGTAGTTCAGTGCCTCTTGCCTGTCGCCCTTTTTGTATATTGGGACCACATTCGCCGTCTTCCATATATCTGTTAGGTCTCTCGTCTCCAGTGACCTACTATACACTATGGAGAGTGGCAAGCAAAGTGCCTCCGCACACTCTTTCAGTACCCATGGCGAGATCCCGTCTAGACCAACAGCCTTTCTAACATCCAGGTCCAGCAAGTGTCTCTTGACCTCCTCTCTCGTAATTTCAAACTCTTCCAAGGCCGCCTGGTTTACTTCCCTTTCTCCTAGCACAGTGACCTCACCTTGTTCTGTTGTGAAGACCTCTTGGAACCTCTTGTTGAGTTCATCACACACCTCTTTGTCATTCTCTGTATACCTGTCCTCGCCTGTTCTAAGTTTCACTACCTGTTCTTTCACTGTTTTCCTTCTGATATGACTGGAGTAGCTTTGGTTCGGTCTTGGCTTTGTTTGTGTTACGGCCCTCTCGGGTCGCAATCGGGTTCTTTCTCTGATGTTGTTAGAGGTAGGGTATCCGACCCCAAGCTAGTAGTGGCTTTCAAGGGATGTGATCCGTAACGCAAGTAAATTAAAGGGGAAGGGAAATAAAGGCAAAAACTTAATAATATAATTATTACCATCACCATAAATAATATAAAGATTACACAGGGGGGGGGTTAAACACTATTATATACAACGTAGTCTTCCTCTGAAGACTCTGGACGTTCACGGTGCTCAACAAGGCTAAGCTCTTAGTCCTCTTGTGGCCTTTCGATGAATCCTTCGATTCTCTTGAGTCTACCCTGGCCACAGGCCAGCCAAATCACAGTTCCACTGGGGGCACCGTCGTGGAGGCCGTCAACCACAAATCCAGCCTGTAGCTGGCAGGTTCCAATCAGCAACGCTGGTTAGGCCACTCCACGATCGATACTAAGGTCGCGAGCCCTAGTCAGGAGCCTCTTGTGATCCCACAGGTCACTCTCCTTTCCACAACACCCCAGTGGTTAAGCGTCTCCACCAGTCAGTCCCGGGTATGACAATCCCTCAACTGCCACTTCACAGGCAGGCTAACACCACAGTGTTCATCCGGGGGGCGACTCACAGCTGCTGCAGCAAATACTTGGAGACAAGACGGCTGCCTTGGGTAGACTGATCCAACTTCCATTACAGCAGTCCCAGGTCGACTCTGTAATCAGACACGTCATCAGTACTAGTTCCACTCTGGGGCACCTCACTGGTTTAGACCCAAACGCCCACCTATCCACTCCATAGATGGCGCTGCTGTCTAAGCGTCACCTCACCAGAGGTCAGCAGCGGCAGTGTTATGAGCTGATCAGGACGGGAAACTAGCCCTTGTGGCCAGTATACCTCGTCCTCACCAGGTGGCGTCGTCCATTTGGAGGGGGTTTCGGGAGCTGACCCACAGATGGCGCGGTCGTCACTGCTCCGTGCTCGGACGCTGGGCTCGGGTCCGTAACAGTTTGCTATATCATTTTCATAACTTTTCTCTGCTTCTCTTCTCACCCTGACATACTCATTCCTGGTTCTCTGGTATCTCTCTCTGCTTTCTGGTGTTCTGTTATTCCGGAAGTTCCTCCACCCCTTTTGTTCAGTACCTTTGCTTCCATACATGCCCTATTATACCATGGATTCTTCTTTTGCTTCTCGGATTTTTCCTTTTGGGCCGGGATGTATCTGCTTACTGCCTCCTGACACTTTTGGGTGACATAGTCCATCATATCTTGTACAGACTTAGCTCTGAGGTCTGTGTCCCAAGGTATTTCCCTTAGGAAGCTTCTCATCTCCTCATAATTTCCCTTTCGGTATGCCAGCCTTTTGTTTCCTAGTTCTTTTTTTGGGGGGATAATTCCTAGCTCTACCAGGTACTCAAAGTTCAATACACTGTGATCACTCATTCCCAAGGGCGCTTCCATCTTGACTTCCCTTATATCCCACTCATTTAGGGTAAATATCAGATCAAGCATTGCTGGTTCATCCTCTCCTCTCATTCTTGTTGGATCCTTATGTGTGTGTGTGTGTAAATCACAAAAACATATAACAACACACATAAAAAATCTTCCTCTGTGGTCTGACACTGTCATATATATATTTATCAATATTTCTTAAGTTTTTCTTCACTGTCGCGGGTAATTGAAAAAATAAATTCTCCAAAATTCATTCTTTATTCCTGGTCTGACGCCTGAACGCGTTTCGTAATGCTTATTACATTACGTCTTTGAAAATGTAATAGGCTGCGAGGACATTAAGCCACATAATCATCTCATGGTATGGGAGGCTAGTTTACTTAGTTTTCTCTATTGGTTGCATTGTGATGAGGCTCCACCCAGTTTAGAGTGGGACTTTGCTAATTGCTGTTATTCTTATTGTGTATCAATATGTTTTTGTTGCTGGGAGTATTGCCCCACATTTTTTTGGTTCCCAGGTTCTTCACCCGTGAATGTGCGATGTTCTCATCACTCTGCCTCTATGGTGGCTGTCTCGCCTCTTTGGGTCGCTACCTGTTTCTGGCAAGAAGCAGATTTGTGGGCAACTTTTAAGCCTCGTGTTCTTGTGATGACAGCTGTAGGCTTTTGACCGTGTGGTGGCAACTCTTGCACTTTTCTCTGCCAGGCCATCTTCTTCTTTGCCCTTGTAGCCGGTGCTGTTACTTGATGGCAACAGCTTGGGCCTCTACCCTTATGTGTGCCTGCCTTTTCATACAACATATATTTGTGCCGTTGCTGGTGGTTTATGCTGTACTGTAGTTGCATTCTGGGGGTTTGTTCCACTGTTGCCTACTCCAGGAGCATTTGTTCAATGAGGTTTGCCTGTAGTTTATATTGTTGTACCACGAGTAAAAATGTAACAGTGATATTAATTAATCTTACGTTTTACCAAACAGAATGATGATGCAGCCATGATTTCAATAGAGAAGAAACAAGTTGTAAGAGTCGTAGGACACAATGGGGCTACCATTGAAGAGATACAGAGACATTCGGGGGCAACTGTGCAAAGTATCCCTAACAATAATGGTCCCAAGGTGTGTATGTTGTTTTTTCTTGAAGGAAAGATGAGTTGCGTGTACTAGTCAATACCCAACTCTATTGTGACAAGCTTTAGGGGTGTGTAAAATATAATATTTTAAAAGCTGAAATATAAGTTGTGATGACCAAACTATGCATCATTAAGGTGAAGAAACGATGCCGTTTCTTCACTTACAAGTTACTGAATTCTTCTTTTTCTTCACTGAAACATACGTTAGCTGTACAGTGGTACCTCAGCTTATGAATCTAATCCGTGCCCAGAGACGGTTAGTAAGCCAAAAGTTCGTAAACCGAAGCGACTTTTCCCATAAGAAATAGTGTAAATTCAATTAATTTGTTCCACGTTCCCCCCAAAATTAACTTCAAAGTAAATTTTATACCTAATTCACGCAAAATTTTAGGACTAAAATATGTATAAGTTATTGCTAACCTCTACGAGCCTGGCCTCGGGCCGGGCTTGGGGAGTAGAAGAGCTCCCAGAACCCCATCAACCAGGTACTGATGACTATTTGGCATATGGAAGATGGTGAGAAGGGGGGGGGGGGAGGAGGAGAGGTGTTAGTGTTTGTAAGGGGAGTCGCCTTCCATTATAACATCAGGCAGTGATGACTTGTGGGTACTCTCTCTGGCACATTTTGCCTGCATACCACTAGGACCTGCTTGTGGCTCACCTTGTTTTTCTCACTAAAAACCTGTCTAGTGACACTTGTTTTTACCTATGTTGTGACGCTTGTCTGAAGTGAGACATCACATTGTCATTAAAAAGGTTAACACAACAGCCTACTACAGCTTGCTCTGAGTGAATTAATAACAATTTTTCAACATCCTCAAGTGTTTGTGTTCTTTGTTTTTTATTGTTAATACATCTTTTGCCACTTTAGCACTCATGATGTTGTTTTTCTTAGCAATTACAGTGCATATCGTTGACATAGATTTGTTGTACTGCCTAGCTAGTTCAACAACCTGTGTACAATACCATTTTCATGTTTACAAAGGATCACCACCTTCCTCGTCGCTTCCAGCTTGCCCCTGCCTCCCTGAAATCTAACAACTATTCTTATCCTTCCTTCTGACAAAGGCAATTCGGTGGTTGTCCTTGACCATGAGGACTACCTCCAGAAAGCAGATGTCTTGCTCTCTGACTCCCGCACTTATGCCCCTCTGACTTTTAATCCTTTGGATTGCCTTAAAACTTCCTTTAACCGCAAACTAAGACAGCTCTCTAGTCTAGGGAGCTAGTCGGCTGAGCGGACAGCACACTGGACTTGTGATCCTGTGGTCCTGGGTTCGATCCCAGGCGCTGGCGAGAAACAATTGGCAGAGTTTATTTCATCCTATGCCCCTGTTACCTAGCAGTAAAATAGGTACCTGGGTGTTAGTCAGCTGTCACGGGCTGCTTCCTGGGGGTGGAGGCCTGGTCGAGGACCGGGCCACGGGGACACTAAAGCCCCAAAATCATCTCAAGATAACCTCAAAATAGTCACTGGCCCTTGTAGCAGGTGCTATGGCCTGTCACATGATGGCAACAGCTTGGGCCTCTACCCTTATGTGTGCCTGCCTTTTCATACAACATATATTTGTGCCGTTGCTGGTGGTTTATGCTGTACTGTAGTTGCATTCTGGGGGTTTGTTCCACTGTTGCCTACTCCAGGAACATTTATTCAGTGAGGTTTGCCTGTAGTTTATATAGTTGTACCACGAGTAAAAATGTAACAGTGATATTTAATCTTATTTTTTTACCAAACAGAATGATGATGCATCCATGATTTCAATAGAGAAGAAACAGGTTGGAAGAGTCGTAGGATGCAATGGGGCTACCATTGAAGAGATACAGAGACATTCGGGGGCAACTGTGCAAAGTATCCCTGACGATAATGGTGCTGAGGTGTGTATGTTGTTTTTCTTGAAGGAAAGATGAGTTGCATGTACTAGTAAATACCCAACTCTATTCTGACAAGCTTTAGGAGTGTGTAAAATATAATATTTTAAAAGCTGAAATATAAGTTGTGATGACCAAACTATGCATCAGGAAGGTGAAGAAACGATGCCGTTTCTTCACTTACAAGTTACCGAATTCTTCTTTTTCTTCACTGAAACATATGTCAGCTATCCAGTGGTACCTCAGCTTATGAGTTTAATCCGTTCCCAGAGACGGTAAGTAAGCCAAAAATTTGTAAACCGAAGCGACTTTTCCTCATAAGAAATAATGAAAATTCAATTAATCTGTTCCACGCTCCCCCAAAAATTAACTTCAATGTAAATTTTATACCTAATTCACATAAAATTATAGTACTAAAGTATGTATAAGTTATTGCTAACTTCTACTGATGACTCTATTTGGCGTATGGAAGATGGTGAGGAGGGGGGGGGGGGGGAAGGAGGAGAGGTGTTAGTGTTTGTAAGGGGAGTCGCCTTCCATTATAACATCAGGCAGTGATGACTTGTGGGTACTCTCTCTGGCACATTTTGCCTGCATACCACTAGGACCTGCTTGTGGCTCACTGCTTGTTTTTCTCACTAAAAACCTGTCTAGTGACACTTGTTTTTACCTATGTTGTGACGCTTGTCTGAAGTGAGACATCACATTGTCATTAAAAAGGTTAACACAATGGCCTACTACAGCTTGCTCTGGGTGAATTAATAACAATTTTTCAACATCCTCAAGTGTTTGTGTTCTTTGTTTTTTTATTGTTAATACATCTTTTGCCACTTTAGCACTCATGATGTTCTTTTTCTTAGCAGTTACAGTGCATATCGTTGACATAGATTTGTTGTACTGCCTAGCTAGTTCAACAACCTGTGTACAATACCATTTTCATGTTTACAAAGGATCACCACCTTCCTCGTCGCTTCCATCTTGCCCCTGCCTCCCAGAAATCTAACAACTGTATTCTTATCCTTCCTTCCGACAAAAGCAGTTCGGTGGTTGTCCTTGACCATGAGGACTACCTCCAGAAAGCAGATGTCTTGCTCTCTGACTCCCGTACTTATGCCCCTCTGACTTGTAATCCTTTTGATCGCCTTAAAACTTCCTTTAACCGCAAACTAAGACAGCTCTCTAGTCTTTGTCCTCCTGACTTCAATCTCATAAAATGTTTACATGTCATCTGCCCTTCTCTTCCTTATTTCTATGGTCTACCTAAGACAAATAAAACAGGTGTTCCTCTTCGTCCTATCATTTCTTCACGGGGCTCTGTCGGCAATCCTCTTGCCTCCTGGCTCGCTAAAACTCTAATGCCTTACCTTGGCACTTTTTCACCTGTCCACCTTTGTCATTCTCAGGACTTCATAGAAAGACTGCGCCTGCAGCCCTCTTGTAAGATACTTAGTCTTGATGTTGACTCTGTTCATTAATGTTCCCCTCGATGACGTTCTCTCTCTCATTAGACAATAAAGCGACTGAGGGCCTTCTTCCTCTCCCGCTTCCCACTGATGTTTTCTTTGAACTCATTAGACTCTGTGTTAACTCTAACTCTTTCTCTTTCAATGGTAATTATTACACTCAAACTTTCGGTGTCGCTATGGGTGGGTTCCACTCTCTCCCCTGTTCTTGCCAATTTCTACATGGAATACTTAAAAACTGTTCGTCCTTCTACTGATACTCGTTCCTCTCTCTGGCTTTGCGATGTTTATGACATTTTTGCTTTATGGCCTCATGACCTTAGTCTTTCCCAGCCTTCCTCTCCTCTCTTTATAATCTGGCTCCTTCCATCCATTTCAAAGTTGAATGGGAATCTACTTCCCTTCTTCCTTTTCTTGACGTTCATTTTCTCAGCTCTGTGTCCAGGTTCTCTTTCTCTGTCTACTGCAATGCCATGCATAGTGGCATGTACATTCACTTCTTTTCCTTCCATCCTCCTTCTGTTAACACTTTCGCTCGGGGATGACGCAGCATTGCGTCATCCGTTTACTGGCGGTAATGCCGGGGATGACGCAGCATTGCGTCATCCACTTTAAAAATTCGCCAAAAATCAGGTTTGTATCCGATTTTTTGGGGACTGGTTTTAAAATGTGCGCCGATGTCTTCCCATTTCCTTTGTTGAGCCTCGTGGCCCTCAGGCGGCTTGGCACACGCCGTGGGCCCATTGTCTTTGCTCCACTGTTGTGACCAATGTCGTCTCCCCTCGCATCTCAAACGTGTGAACATTTCGGCTATTTTCCGTGGCTATATTTCTTACTGCGGCTTTAGAAACTATCTACGCTTACTCCACGATGGATAGTAATCATGAACAAGGCCCTTCCAGGAAGAAAATTGCGAAAGAAAGGCTTGAAAAGGGTGGGAATTGGGAGTGTAGTAGGAAGGCCTCTGAGCGCTCACTCACGGCTAACGCGTGGCCCGTCTTCAACTCGTCGGCGGTTGGAGCGTGACCAGGTGTTTTTTTTTATATGCTAATGTTCCTCTAGGGAATTTTATTACGAACCCATTGAGACTAAAATGAAAGACCTAGGACAAAAATTGAGGTGACCAGAGTGAAAATAGTGAAAACATTTTATCCCGTTTGCGCGCTCCCGGGTAACTCGTTCGCACTTTCTCTGTTTGCTGCGGGTAATTAGCCGGGCTTTTGGAGTTTATATGCATTTAGTGCTGTAGAGAATTTTATTGCGAACACAATGATACCAAATTTATTCTCGTAGAAGGAGAATTGAGGTGACAAAGTTGAAGAGAGTATACACTTTTCGGAATTAACGCGCGCTTCCGTGACACGCTGGGGCCCATATCGCCCTGTCGAGGGGTGGCGCGCGGGGTGAGCGAAAGTGTTAAGAAAGGTATCCTTGTCTCTCTCTTCCTCCGCGCTCTATGCATCAGCGACCCTGAGTAATTTGATTTTGAAGGTGCCTTTATCTACAAATCATTCTCTCGCCTTGGTTACCCTTTACATTTCATCAACTGTGCCTACTCTCAAGCTATACGAAATTTCTTTCATCCTAAACCTGCTTCCAACACTAGTAGCACTGTGCTCTGCCTTCCCTTCATATCTGAACTCAAAATTTTTACTAATACCTTTCGTTCTCTTGACATAAAGCTCACCTTTCGACAAACTAACACACTTCGTAGCAATCTAGTTCACACTGCTCTTCCAGCTTCTAATGCTGCTGGTGTCTACTCTATTTCCTGTTCGTCTTGTCCTCTCCAATACTTTGGTGAAACTGGCCGTACACTTTATTACAGACATAAAGAACACAAGAGAAGTGTTAAGTCTGCAGACACAAACAATGCTCTCTTCTGTCATGTGAGGGATTCTAATCATCATATTGATTGGTCTTCCTCCAAAATAATCTTTCCTGCCTCTACTCTACACAAATCCTGTCTTGTTGAATCGGCTCTGATACACAACGTACCCAACATGAACTTGAGTCCTGGCTTGTTGCTGTTGACTCTTCCCTTTCACAGTATATACTCAAATGCTCTAAACTTTCTAACAAACGTGACCTAACATAAGCTTACCCTTCCATTTATCTTTCTTTCTTTCTTTTTCTTTCCCTTGTTTTCTCTTATGATCCCTTTCTTATTCCTATTACTATCGCCTTTATTACATCTTACCTTTCGTACCTTTTGTCTTGCTTTTTCTTCCTCTAAGATTTCCTTCTCCTCACCTCTCTTGCGTATTTATTGCCTTCACCTCCTTCCCTCATCACAATCGTCTTGAGAATGGTCCAGGACGGACCGAAATGTTGTCGTCCCTTTATTTCCTAGTTTGTGGTGTGGTCAACTTACGAAGAATCTCTTGTTTTTCCTCTATGGTCATTCTCACATGTGTTTTCTTGGCTTGAACCTTACTACTGGCTTTCTTGGGGCCCCATGGCGAGATATATAATAACAAATTTTATGTTCAAATAGCCAAAAATCCAAAACAAACTGTAAATCTTTGCAAAGAATTCAGGCGTGATAGTCACTAGGCGAGAGGCACTGGTAAACTGAGGCGCTATCTCCGTGCCACCACGAGCTAGGTCAGCCCATACACGTATCAACAAACTCATTTCCCATGACAAAGTTCGTAACCTGATTCAAATTCTCCATAGAAATTGAGCTCATAACCCGAAAAGTTCGTAAAGAGGGGCATTCGTAAGCCGAGGTATCACTGTATTCAATTTGCTGATAGCTGTTTCCTTCTGCCTAGAAGGTTTGTCCATTGTTTAAGTGCCCAAGTAGCAAGTACTTGTGTGTATGGGTATCAGCCAGGGGTTGATCAGGATACCTGATCAACCCTGGCAGTAATTCATACATCAGTCTGATGGACTGATGTATGAATTATGTAAATAATGTATGATGGACCAACCTGTCCAGCAATGAGGAGGCCTGGACGAGGACCGGGTTGCGAGGACATTGAGCCCCGAAATCATCGCATGGTATGGGAGGCTTGTTTACTTAGCTTTCTCTATTGGTTGCATTGGGATGAGGCTCCACCCAGTTTACAGTGGGACTTTGCTAATTGCTGTTATTCTTATTGTGTATTGATATGTTTTTGCTGCCGGGAGTATTACCCACTGTTTTTTTGTTCCGAGGTTCTTCACCCGTGAATGTGCGATGTTCTCATCACTCTGCCTCTATGATGGCTGTCTCGCCTCTTCTGGTCACTACCTGTTTCTGGTGAGAAGCAGATTTCTGGGCAACTTTTAAGCCTCGTGTTCTTGTGATGACAACTGTAGGCTTTTGACCGTGTGGTGGCAACTCTTGCACTTTTCTTTGTTAGGCCATCTTCTTTGCCCTTGTAGCCGGTGCTGTGACCTGTGACCTGATGGCAACAGCTTTGGCCTCTACCCTTATGTGTTCCTGCCTTTTCATACAACATATATTTGTGCCGTTGCTGGTGGTTTATGCTGTACTGTAGTTGCATTCTGGGGGTTTGTTCCACTGTTGCCTACTCCAGGAACATTTGTTCAGTGAGGTTTGCCTGTAGTTTATATTGTTGTACCACGAGTAAAAATGTAACAGTGATATTAATTAATCTTATTTTTTTCCCAAACAGAATGATGATGCATCCATGATTTCAATAGAGAAGAAACAGGTTGGAAGAGTCGTAGGATGCAATGGGGCTACCATTGAAGAGATACAGAGACATTCGGGGGCAACTGCGCAAAGTATCCCTAACGATAATGGTGCAGAGGTGTGTATGTTTTGTTTTTCTTGAAGGAAAGATGAGTTGCATGTACTAGTAAATACCCAACTCTATTGTAATTACCTAAGTGTAGTTACTGGATGAGAGCTACGCTCGTGGTGTCCCGTCTTCCCAGCACTCTTTGTCATATAATGCTTTGAAACTACTGACGGTCTTGGCCTCCACCACCTTCTCACCTAACTTGTTCCAACCGTCTACCACTCTGTTTGCGACAAGCTTTAAGAGTGTGTAAAATATAATATTATAAAAGCTGAAATATAAGTTGTGATGACCAAACTATGCATCAGGAAGGTGAAGAAACGATGCAGTTTCTTCACTTACAAGTTACCGAATTCTTCTTTTTCTTCACTGAAACATATGTCAGCTATACAGTGGTACCTCAGCTTATGAGTTTAATCCGTTCCCAGAGACGGTAAGTAAGCCAAAAATTTGTAAACCGAAGCGACTTTTCCTCATAAGAAATAATGAAAATTCAATTAATCTGTTCCACGCTCCCCCAAAAATTAACTTCAAAGTAAATTTTATACCTAATTCACATAAAATTTTAGTACTAAAGTATGTATAAGTTATTGCTAACTTCTACTGATGACTCTACTTGGCATATGGAAGACGGGGGGGAGGGAAGGAGGAGAGGTGTTCGTGTTTGTAAGGGGAGTCGCCTTCCATTATAACATCAGGCAGTGATGACGTGTGGGTACTCTCTCTGGCACATTTTGCCTGCATACCACTAGGACCTGCTTGTGGCTCACCTTGTTTTTCTCACTAAAAACCTGTCTAGTGACACTTGTTTTTACCTATGTTGTGACGCTTGTCTGAAGTGAGACATCACATTGTCATTAAAAAGGTTAACACAATGGCCTACTACAGCTTGCTCTGGGTGAATTAATAAAAAATTTTCAACATCCTCAAGTGTTTGTGTTCTTTGTTTTTTTATTGTTAATACATCTTTTGCCACTTTAGCACTCATGATGTTCTTTTTCTTAGCAATTACAGTGCATATCGTTGACATAGATTTGTTGTACTGCCTAGCTAGTTCAACAACCTGTGTACAGTACCATTTTCATGTTTACAAAGGATCACCACCTTCCTCGTCGCTTCCATCTTGCCCCTGCCTCCCAGAAATCTAACAACTCTATTCTTATCCTTCCTTCCGACAAGAGCAGTTCGGTGGTTGTCCTTGACCATGAGGACTACCTCCAGAAAGTAGATGTCTTGCTCTCTGACTCCCGCACTTATGCCCCTTTGACTTATAATCCTTTAGATCGCCTTAAAACTTCCTTTAACCGCAAACTAAGACAGCTCTCTAGTCTTGGTCCTCCTGACTTCAATCTCATAAAATGTTTACATGTCATCTGCTCTTCTCTTCCTTATTTCTATGTTCTGCCTAAGACAAATAAAACAGGTGTTCCTCTTCGTCCTATCATTTCTTCACAGGGCTCTGTCGGCAATCCTCTTGCCTCCTGGCTCGCTAAAACTCTAATGCCTTACCTTGGCACTTTTTCACCTGTCCACCTTTGTCATTCTCAGGACTTCATAGAAAGACTGCGCCTGCAGCCCTCTTGTAAGATACTTAGTCTTGATGTCTACTCTGTTCATTAATGTTCCCCTCGATGGCGTTCTCGCTTTCATTAGACAATAAAGCGACAAGAGGGCCTTCTTCCTCTCCCGCTTCCCACTGATGTTTTCTTTGAACTCATTAGACTCTGTGTTAACTCTAACTCTTTCTCTTTCAATGGTAATTATTACACTCAAACTTTCGGTGTCGCTATGGGTGGGTTCCACTCTCTCCCCTGTTCTTGCCAATTTCTTAATGAAATACTTAGAAACTGTTCTTCTTCCTTCTACTGATACTCGTTCCTCTCTCTGGCTTCGCGATGTTTATGACATTTTTGCTTTATGGCTTCATGACCTTAGTCTTTCCCAGCCTTCCTCTCCTCTCTTTCTAATCAGGCTCCTTCCATCCATTTCAAAGTTGAATGGGAATCTACTTCCCTTCTTCCTTTTCTTGACGTTCACGTTCTCAGCTCAGTGTCCAGGTTCTCTTTCTCTGTCTACTGCAATGCCATGCATAGTGGCATGTACATTCACTTCTTTTCCTTCCATCCTCCTTCTGTTAAGAAAGGTATCCTTGTCTCTCTCTTCCTCCGCGCTCTATGCATCAGCGACCCTGAGTAATTTGATTTTGAAGGTGCCTTTATCTACAAATCATTCTCTCGCCTTGGTTACCCTTTACGTTTTATCAACTGTGCCTACTCTCATGCTAAACAAAATTTCTTTCATCCTAAACCTGCTTCCAACACTAGTAGCACTGTACTATGCCTTCCCTTCATATCTGAACTCAAAACTTTTACTAATACCTTTCATCCTCTCGACATAAAGGTCACCTTTCGACAAACTAACACACTTCATAGCAATCTAGTTCACACTGCTCCTCCTGCTTCTAATGCCGTTGGTGTCTACTCTATTTCCTATTCGACATAAAGCTCACCTTTCGACAAACTAACACACTTCGTAGCAATCTAGTTCACACTGCTCTTCCTGCTTCTAATGCCGCTGGTGTCTACTCTATTTCCTGTTCGACATAAAGCTCACCTTTCGACAAACTAACACACTTCGTAGCAATCTAGTTCACACTGCTCTTCCTGCTTCTAATGCCGATGGTGTCTACTCTATTTCCTATTCGACATAAAGCTCACCTTTCGACAAACTAACACACTTCGTAGCAATCTAGTTCATACTGCTCTTCCTGCTTCTAATGCCGCTGGTGTCTACTCTATTTCCTGTTCGTCTTGTCCTCTCCAATACTTTGGTGAAACTGGCCGTACTTTTTATAACAGACTTAAGGAACACAAAAGAAGTGTTAAGTCTACAGACACAAACAATGCTCTCTTCTGTCATGTGAGGGATTCTAATCATCCTATTGATTGGTCTTCCTCCAAAATAATCTTTCCTGCCTCTACTCTACACAAATGCTGTCTTGTTGAATCGGCTCTGATACACAACGTACCCAACATGAACTTGAGTCCTGGCTTTGTTGCTGTGGACTCTTCCCCTTCACAGTATATACTCAAATGCTCTAAACTTTCTAACAAACGTGACCTAACATAAGCTTACCCTTCCATTTATCTTTCTTTCTTTCTTTTTCTTTCCCTTGTTTTCTCTTATGATCCCTTTCTTATTCCTATTACTATCGCCTTTATTACATCTTACCTTTCGTACCTTTTGTCTTGCTTTTTCTTCCTCTAAGATTTCCTTCTCCTCACCTCTCTTGCGTATTTATTGCCTTCACCTCCTTCCCTCATCACAATCATCTTGAGAATGGTCCAGGACGGACCGAAATGTTGTCGTCCCTTTATTTTCTAGTTTGTGGTGTGGTCAACTTACGAAGAATCTCTTGTTTTTCCTCTATGGTCATTCTCAGATGTGTTTTCTTGGCTTGAACCTTACCACTGGCTTTCTTGGGGCCACATGGCGAGATATACAATAACAAATTTTATGGTCAAATAGCCAAAAATCCAAAACAAACTGTAAATCTTTGCAAAGAATTCAGGCGCGATAGTCACTAGGCGAGAGGCACTAGTAAACTGAGGCGCGATCGCCGTGCAACCACGAGCTAGGTCAGCCCATATGCCTATCAACAAACTCATTTCCCATGACAAAGTTCGTAACCTGATTCAAATTCTCCATAGAAATTGAGCTCATAACCCGAAAAGTTCGTAAAGAGGGGCATTCGTAAGCCGAGGTATCACTGTATTCAATTTGCTGATAGCTGTTTCCTTCTGCCTAGAAGGTTTGTCCATTGTTTAAGTGCCCAAGTAGCAAGTACTGGTGTGTATGGGTATCAGCCAGGGGTTGATCAGGATACCTGATCAACCCTGGCAGTAATTCATACATCAGTCTGATGGACTGATGTATGAACTATGTAAATAATGTATGATGGACCAACCAGTCCAGCAATGAGGAGGCCTGGACGAGGACCGGGTTGCGAGGACATTGAGCCCCGAAATCATCTCATGGTATGAGAGGCTTGTTTACTTAGCTTTCTCTATTGGTTGCATTGGGATGAGGCGCCACCCAGTTTACATTGGAACTTTGCTAATTGCTGTTATCCTTATTGTGTATTGATATGTTTTTGCTGCCGGGAGTATTACCCACTTTTTTTTGTTCCGAGGTTCTTCACCCGTGAATGTGCGATGTTCTCATCACTCTGCCTCTATGATGGCTGTCTCGCCTCTTCTGGTCACTACCTGTTTCTGGTGAGAAGCAGATTTCTGGGCAACTTTTAAGCCTTGTGTTCTTGTGATGACAACTGTAGGCTTTTGACCGTGTGGTGGCAACTCTTGCACTTTTCTTTGTTAGGCCATCTTCTTTGCCCTTGTAGCCGGTGCTGTGACCTGTGACCTGATGGCAACAGCTTTGGCCTCTACCCTCATGTGTTCCTGCCTTTTCATACAACATATATTTGTGCCGTTGCTGGTGGTTTATGCTGTACTGTAGTTGCATTCTGGGGGTTTGTTCCACTGTTGCCTACTCCAGGAACATTTGTTCAGTGAGGTTTGCCTGTAGTTTATATTGTTGTACCACGAGTAAAAATGTAACAGTGATATTAATTAATCTTATTTTTTTCCCAAACAGAATGATGATGCATCCATGATTTCAATAGAGAAGAAACAGGTTGGAAGAGTCGTAGGATGCAATGGGGCTACCATTGAAGAGATACAGAGACATTCGGGGGCAACTGCGCAAAGTATCCCTGACGATAATGGTGCAGAGGTGTGTATGTTTTGTTTTTCTTGAAGGAAAGATGAGTTGCATGTACTAGTAAATACCCAACTCTATTGTAAATACCTAAGTGTAGTTACAGGATGAGAGCTACGCTCGTGGTGTCCCGTCTTCCCAGCACTCTTTGTCATATAATGCTTTGAAACTACTGACGGTCTTGGCCTCCACCACCTTCTCACCTAACTTGTTCCAACCGTCTACCACTCTGTTTGCGACAAGCTTTAGGAGTGTGTAAAATATAATATTTTAAAAGCTGAAATATAAGTTGTGATGACCAAACTATGCATCAGGAAGGTGAAGAAACGATGCAGTTTCTTCACTTACAAGTTACCGAATTCTTCTTTTTCTTCACTGAAACATATGTCAGCTATACAGTGGTACCTCAGCTTATGAGTTTAATCCGTTCCCAGAGACGGTAAGTAAGCCAAAAATTTGTAAACCGAAGCGACTTTTCCTCATAAGAAATAATGAAAATTCAATTAATCTGTTCCACGCTCCCCCAAAAATTAACTTCAAAGTACATTTTATACCTAATTCACATAAAATTTTAGTACTAAAGTATGTATAAGTTATTGCTAACTTCTACTGATGACTATTTGGCGTATGGAAGACGGTGAAGAGGAGGTGGGGGGGGGAGGAGGAGAGGTGTTAGTGTTTGTAAGGGGAGTCGCCTTCCATTATAACATCAGGCAGTGATGACGTGTGGGTACTCTCTCTGGCACATTTTGCCTGCATACCACTAGGACCTGCTTGTGGCTCACCTTGTTTTTCTCACTAAAAACCTGTCTAGTGACACTTGTTTTTACCTATGTTGTGACGCTTGTCTGAAGTGAGACATCACATTGTCATTAAAAAGGTTAACACAATGGCCTACTACAGCTTGCTCTGGGTGAATTAATAAAAAATTTTCAACATCCTCAAGTGTTTGTGTTCTTTGTTTTTTTATTGTTAATACATCTTTTGCCACTTTAGCACTCATGATGTTCTTTTTCTTAGCAATTACAGTGCATATCGTTGACATAGATTTGTTGTACTGCCTAGCTAGTTCAACAACCTGTGTACAGTACCATTTTCATGTTTACAAAGGATCACCACCTTCCTCGTCGCTTCCATCTTGCCCCTGCCTCCCAGAAATCTAACAACTTTATTCTTATCCTTCCTTCCGACAAGAGCAGTTCGGTGGTTGTCCTTGACCATGAGGACTACCTCCAGAAAGTAGATGTCTTGCTCTCTGACTCCCGCACTTATGCCCCTTTGACTTATAATCCTTTAGATCGCCTTAAAACTTCCTTTAACCGCAAACTAAGACAGCTCTCTAGTCTTTGTCCTCCTGACTTCAATCTCATAAAATGTTTACATGTCATCTGCCCTTCTCTTCCTTATTTCTATGTTCTACCTAAGACAAATAAAACAGGTGTTCCTCTTCGTCCTATCATTTCTTCACAGGGCTCTGTCGGCAATCCTCTTGCCTCCTGGCTCGCTAAAACTCTAATGCCTTACCTTGGCACTTTTTCACCTGTCCACCTTTGTCATTCTCAGGACTTCATAGAAAGACTGCGCCTGCAGCCCTCTTGTAAGATACTTAGTCTTGATGTCTACTCTGTTCATTAATGTTCCCCTCGATGGCGTTCTCGCTTTCATTAGACAATAAAGCGACAAGAGGGCCTTCTTCCTCTCCCGCTTCCCACTGATGTTTTCTTTGAACTCATTAGACTCTGTGTTAACTCTAACTCTTTCTCTTTCAATGGTAATTATTACACTCAAACTTTCGGTGTCGCTATGGGTGGGTTCCACTCTCTCCCCTGTTCTTGCCAATTTCTTAATGAAATACTTAGAAACTGTTCTTCTTCCTTCTACTGATACTCGTTCCTCTCTCTGGCTTCGCGATGTTTATGACATTTTTGCTTTATGGCTTCATGACCTTAGTCTTTCCCAGCCTTCCTCTCCTCTCTTTATAATCTGGCTCCTTCCATCCATTTCAAAGTTGAATGGGAATCTACTTCCCTTCTTCCTTTTCTTGACATTCACGTTCTCAGCTCAGTGTCCAGGTTCTCTTTCTCTGTCTACTGCAATGCCATGCATAGTGGCATGTACATTCACTTCTTTTCCTTCCATCCTCCTTCTGTTAAGAAAGGTATCCTTGTCTCTCTCTTCCTCCGCGCTCTATGCATCAGCGACCCTGAGTAATTTGATTTTGAAGGTGCCTTTATCTACAAATCATTCTCTCGCCTTGGTTACCCTTTACGTTTTATCAACTGTGCCTACTCTCATGCTAAACAAAATTTCTTTCATCCTAAACCTGCTTCCAACACTAGTAGCACTGTACTATGCCTTCCCTTCATATCTGAACTCAAAACTTTTACTAATACCTTTCATCCTCTCGACATAAAGGTCACCTTTCGACAAACTAACACACTTCATAGCAATCTAGTTCACACTGCTCCTCCTGCTTCTAATGCCGTTGGTGTCTACTCTATTTCCTATTCGACATAAAGCTCACCTTTCGACAAACTAACACACTTCGTAGCAATCTAGTTCACACTGCTCTTCCTGCTTCTAATGCCGCTGGTGTCTACTCTATTTCCTGTTCGACATAAAGCTCACCTTTCGACAAACTAACACACTTCGTAGCAATCTAGTTCACACTGCTCTTCCTGCTTCTAATGCCGATGGTGTCTACTCTATTTCCTATTCGACATAAAGCTCACCTTTCGACAAACTAACACACTTCGTAGCAATCTAGTTCATACTGCTCTTCCTGCTTCTAATGCCGCTGGTGTCTACTCTATTTCCTGTTCGTCTTGTCCTCTCCAATACTTTGGTGAAACTGGCCGTACTTTTTATAACAGACTTAAGGAACACAAAAGAAGTGTTAAGTCTACAGACACAAACAATGCTCTCTTCTGTCATGTGAGGGATTCTAATCATCCTATTGATTGGTCTTCCTCCAAAATAATCTTTCCTGCCTCTACTCTACACAAATGCTGTCTTGTTGAATCGGCTCTGATACACAACGTACCCAACATGAACTTGAGTCCTGGCTTTGTTGCTGTGGACTCTTCCCCTTCACAGTATATACTCAAATGCTCTAAACTTTCTAACAAACGTGACCTAACATAAGCTTACCCTTCCATTTATCTTTCTTTCTTTCTTTTTCTTTCCCTTGTTTTCTCTTATGATCCCTTTCTTATTCCTATTACTATCCCCTTTATTACATCTTACCTTTCGTACCTTTTGTCTTGCTTTTTCTTCCTCTAAGATTTCCTTCTCCTCACCTCTCTTGCGTATTTATTGCCTTCACCTCCTTCCCTCATCACAATCGTCTTGAGAATGGTCCAGGACGGACCGAAATGTTGTCGTCCCTTTATTTTCTAGTTTGTGGTGTGGTCAACTTACGAAGAATCTCTTGTTTTTCCTCTATGGTCATTCTCACATATGTTTTCTTGGCTTGAACCTTACTACTGGCTTTCTTGGGGCCACATGGCGAGATATATAATAACAAATTTTATGTTCAAATAGCCAAAAATCCAAAACAAACTGTAAATCTTTGCAAAGAATTCAGGCGTGATAGTCACTAGGCGAGAGGCACTGGTAAACTGAGGCGCGATCGCTGTGCCACCACGAGCTAGGTCAGCCCATACGCGTTTCAACAAACTCATTTCCTGAGGCAAAGTTCGTAACCTGATTCAAATTCTCCAAAGAAATTGAGCTCATAACCCGAAAAGTTCGTAAAGAGGGGCATTCGTAAGCCGAGGTATCACTGTATTCAATTTGCTGATAGCTGTTTCCTTCTGCCTAGAAGGTTTGTACATTGTTTAAGTGCCCAATTAACCAGTACTAGTGTGTATGGGTGTTAAACAGGGGTTGATCAGGATACCTGATCAACTCTGACTGTGATTCATACATCAAGCTGCGAGCAGCTGCGTCCAACAGACTGGTTGACCAGTCCAGCAATGAGGAGGCCTGGACGAGGACCAGGTTGCGGAGACATTGAGCCCCAAAATAATCACATGGTATGGGAGGCTTGTTTACTTAGTTTTCTCTATTGGTTACATTGTGATGAGGCTCCACCCAGTTTAGAGTGGGACTTTGCTAATTGCAGTTATTCTTATTGTGTATCAATATGGTTTTGTTGCCGGGAGTGTTGCCCCACATTATTTTGGTTACCAGGTTCTTCACCCGTGAATGTGCGATGTTCTCATCACTCTGCCTCTATGGTGGCTGTCTCGCCTCTTTGGGTCACTACCTGTTTCTGGCAAGAAGCAGATTTCTGGGCAACTTTTAAGCCTCGTGTTCTTGTGATGACAGCTGTAGGCTTTTGACCGTGTGGTGGGAACTCTTGCACTTTTCTTTGTTAGGCCATCTTCTTCTTTGCCCTTGTAGCCGGTGCTGTGACCTGATGGCAACAGCTTGGGCCTCTACCCTTATGTGTGCCTGCCTTTTCATACAACATTTATTTGTGCCTTTGGTGGTAGTTTATTCTGTACTGTAGTTGCATTCTGGGGGTTTGTTCCACTGTTGCCTACTCCAGGAGCATTTGTTCAGTGAGGTTTGCCTGTAGTTTATATAGTTGTACCACGAGTAAAAATGTAACAGTGATATTTAATCTTATTTTTTTACCAAACAGAATGATGATGCATCCATGATTTCAATAGAGAAGAAACAGGTTGGAAGAGTCGTAGGATGCAATGGGGCTACCATTGAAGAGATACAGAGACATTCGGGGGCAACTGTGCAAAGTATCCCTAACAATAATGGTCCCAAGGTGTGTATGTTGTTTTTTCTTGAAGGAAAGATGAGTTGCATGTACTAGTCAATACCCAACTCTATTCTGACAAGCTTTAGGGGTGTGTAAAATATAATATTTTAAAAGCTGAAATATAAGTTGTGATGACCAAACCATGCATCATTAAGGTGAAGAAACGATGCAGTTTCTTCACTTACAAGTTACCGAATTCTTCTTTTTCTTCACTGAAACATATGTCAGCTATCCAGTGGTACCTCAGCTTATGAATTTAATCCGTTCCCAGAGATGGTTAGTAAGCCAAAAGTTCGTAAACCGAAGCGACTTTTCCCATAATAAATAATGTAAATTCAATTAATCTGTTCCACGCTCCCCCAAAAATTAACTTCAAAGTAAATTTTATACCTAATTCACGCAAAATTTTAGCACTAAAGTATGTATAAGTTATTGCTAACTTCTACTGATGACTCTACTTGGCATATGGAAGATGGTGAGGCGGGGGGGGGGGAGGAAGGAGGAGAGGTGTTAGTGTTTGTAAGGAGAGTCACCTTCCATTATAACATCAGGCAGTGATGACGTGTGGGTACTCTCTCTGGCACATTTTGCCTGCATACCACTAGGACCTGCTTGTGGCTCACCTTGTTTTTCTCACTAAAAACCTGTCTAGTGACACTTGTTTTTACCTATGTTGTGACGCTTGTCTGAAGTGAGACATCACATTGTCATTAAAAAGGTTAACACAATGGCCTACTACAGCTTGCTCTGAGTGAATTAATAACAATTTTTCAACATCCTCAAGTGTTTGTGTTCTTTATTTTTTTATTGTTAATACATCTTTTGCCACTTTAGCACTCATGATGTTCTTTTTCTTAGCAATTACAGTGCATATCGTTGACATAGATTTGTTGTACTGCCTAGCTAGTTCAACAACCTGTGTACAATACCATTTTCATGTTTACAAAGGATCACCACCTCCCTCGTCGCTTCCAGCTTGCCCGTGCCTCCCTGAAATCTAACAACTCTATTCTTATCTTTCCTTCCGACAAAGGCAATTCGGTGGTTGTTCTTGACCATGAGGACTACCTCCAGAAAGCAGATGTCTTGCTCTCTGACTCCCTCACTTATACCCCTTGACTTCTAATCCTTTGGATCGCCTTGAAACTTCCTTTAACCGCAAATTAAGACGGCTCTCTAGTCTTTGTCCTCCTGACTTCAATCTCATAAAATGTTTACATGTCATCTGCTCTTCTGCTAAAATATAATACAGCTGTCATCTGACTTCTTGTGATGACAGCTGTAGGCTTTTGACCGTGTGGTGGCAACTCTTGCACTTTTCTTTGTTAGGCCATCTTCTTCTTTGTCCTTATAGTAGCTGCTGTGGCCTGTGACCTGATGGCAACAGCTTGGGCCTCTACCCTTAAGTGTGCCTGCCTTTTCATACAACATATATTTGTGCCGTTGCTGGTGGTTTATGCTGTACTGTAGTTGCATTCTGGGGGTTTGTTCCACTGTTGCCTACTCCAGGAGCATTTGTTCAGTGAGGTTTGCCTGTAGTTTATATTGTTGTACCACGAGTAAAAATGTAACAGTGATATTAATTAATCTTATTTTTTACCAAAACAGAATGGTGTACGCATGATTTCAATAAAGAGTAAACAGATTGCAAGAGTCGTAGGACGCAAAGGGGCTATTATTCAAGAGATACAGAGACGTTCGGGGGCAACTGTGGAAATTATCCCTAGCTATCGTGGTCCCAAGGTGTGTATGTTGTTTTTCTTGAAGGAAAGATGAGTTGCGTGTACTAGTCAATACCCAACTCTATTGCGACAAGCTTTAGGAGTGTGTAAAATATAATATTTTAAAAGCTGAAATATAAGTTGTGATGACCAAACTATGCATCATTAAGGTGAAGAAACGATGCCGTTTCTTCACTTACACGTTACAGAATTCTTCTTTTTCTTCACTGAAATATACCTTAGCTATATACACAAAGTGCAAGATTGCTCAACATAGGCTTGTAAAGGTGTTGATCCTACTCTATTATTTTAGTTATACTGGAGTATAACTACAGTATCAGTACTAAACAAAGTAAGACTTTGCTAGTTAATATTGTATGATCAACATTGTGTGAGAATGACTTGAAATAAAGTCATTTGAAAAAACTGGAAAGGATTTAGAAAGCTGCTCATTATTGCAATATGTGTGTAGAGCTGAGAAAAGTCGAGTAGCATTGGGAAATTATATTTTCTGGGCAGAGCCCCTACGGCTCCCTGAAGCTATCCAGGCTGATAGGGATAGTCTAACTTTTGGTATCAGTCGATGTGGGTGAAGTTCTAGGCCTACCGGGGACCAAGTCCAGAACCTGGCCCCCTCAGAGAGGCACGAAGAGCAATGGCCTATAGAAATGCACATGTGATTTTGGAGCATTCTGTATCTGCCATCGACCGGGCCAGGCACCCAGAAAGGTAAGCACCTCAAAACAAACCCCTATTCTGGTGAAACCAAAGAAAATAACAAAACAAGTGGACAGAACTCCCCCAAGGGAAAACGAGCAAACAACCATGAAAGTACACGAGCTGCACTGTATGTCTATGCAGCTCCCCCCCCCCCCTCCCCGGGAGGGGGGGGGGGAGCCCCAGGCCCCCGGCGCTGGTGATCCACACCTCCAGTTCCTTGGCTGATGGGATTGGGCTTAGTCATTGTGGCTCCAGTTCCAGATTCTCTTTGTGCTAGGCCTGGGTTCAGTACTTATCTTTGGGGGTGTGCGAGCTGGGAGTAATATTCACAGGTACTCAGGCTGCATGCGTTTAGGGCTCCCTTCCTTAAGTGCCCTGTAAGTACTGCTCTAGGGGCTTGGGGTTACCTTCCACAAGTCACAATTGTAGAAGGTAATTAGTGTATGACCACCTCGAGTGTTTTGGGGGGGGGGGTGTTGGTCGCCTCGGCCTTGGTTCTGTCAGCGGCCCCCTCGTTTTTTCCCTGCTGTGGTTTATTCGGCTCCTCCGCCCTACTTCCAGCTCCTAAGCGTCTGAGGGCTTTGGGGTCAGGATAGGGTTTAGAGGTTTCTGAGACACGGGCAGTTTCAGGGGTTGTCCCTTCCAGGGTAGCTGCAGAGGCATTCAAATCAGTTCCTTCAGCCATAGCTCCGGGGTCTGAACAATGGGCCCATCCTCTTCCTGCTATTCCGGCTGCCCTGGCTTTTTCTTGTGAGGCCAGGGCTTTGGAGGACGACACGGCCCCGGAGCACGATGTGGAGGTTCCCGGGGTTGGGGAGGTGCTGACTTGGGGGCCTTGGGCCTGGGTTTTCCGACCCTCCGAGCGGGCCTTGCTGTTACAAGAAGCGGGGTTTTCCTCCTCCCCCCCCCTCTGCGTATGACTTAGATTTGGGTTCGGCTCCTCCCTGGGTTCGGTTCCGTGTCCCTGCGGGTCCTTCGGTTCCATCCTATTAGAGGTTTTCGGTTTCCTGCATCTCTCCGGTTGAGGTGCGGGGGGCCATTGCAGTTTACCTCCTGCGCGACCTGGATTATGCCTTTATAATGGATCCGTCTTCCTTCAGGTTTGGGTCTTTGTCTCCATACTGGATTCGTTGTGAGGTTCTGGAGTCGTCCTTGCTTGTGGACTGCCCTTTGTTTTCGCAGGCCTCTTCTCCTGCGCTCTGTCCAGTCGTCATGGAGTGGGTACGATTGGACGTGGATGAAATGACGATGTCCGTCAGGTGGGTTTCCCTCTACTTTCCAATCCCGAAACAGGACTGTGAGGACCTGCAGTTCATTCTTGAATTGTTCCGTCTGAACCCCTTGGTTTTTTGCCCCTTCTTTCGGATGACCACTTTGTCCCAGGTCTGACTTCTTTTGGAGCTGGGCTCTTGGATGTTGTCCCCTGGACCTCAAGGACGCATATTGGCATGTTCTGATACATCCGAGGTTCAGGGACTGGCTCTGTTTTGTTGTGGGGCGTCAGAGTTACTGCTTTCGTTGTCTCCCGTTCAGGTGGAACATGGCACCTCATGTGTTCACACGTCTTACCCGGGTCGTTGTGGTCCATCTGTGTCTGTTAGGTGTTCGGGTGTTGGCTAACCTCGACGACTGACTGATTTGAGCTCCTAGTCGGTCCGTGTGTCTGCTCGCCAGGGGTGTGGTGCTTTCCCAGCTAGCCGGGTTCGGGTTCCTGGTGAACTGGTGGAAGTCCCATTTGATTCCCTCCCAGGTTTGGACCTGGCTAGGCCTCGTGTGGGTCTCTCGGACCGCTTCCTTGTCTCTTATCCAGAGTCTCTCCTTCGGTTGCGGTCCTGCGTGCACTGGTTTCTGGGGGCTCCCGGGTCTCTTGCGATCGCTGGGTTCGACCCCCGGAGACCTTACGTCGGCTGCTGTGTTGCCGGCTTCCTCTTCAGGTTTTTCGGGATTCGATGCCTTGGTGCCTACTCGAGCGGTGGGGTCCGTCCTTCCGTCGGGCCCACAGCACGGTGTGGGAGTTTGTGGCGGTGTGGTTTGCGCTTCGGAGGGTTCGGGTTGCCCGAAGATCGGTGATCCGGCTCCATTCAGACTGCTTCCCAGTAGTTCATTGTCTGAACCGAGGGGGTTCGATGCTGTCCTTGGCTCTTTGGGGTTGGTCGCTTCGGGTGACTCGTCTGCTGAGTTCTCGGGGTTTGGCTCTCCTGGTGGTTCACGTCCGGGGGGTGTCCAACGTCCTGACGGACGGCTTGTCCCGGTTCGTACCCTTTTCCATGGAACGGACGGTCAATGCCGACTCATTCAATCGACTCTGCAAGACTTTTGGGCGCCTGGAGGTGGACCTCTTCACGCCAGCGTGGTCGAGGCGTCTTCCGGTATATGTGGTGCCCTTCCCTGACAGCAAAGCTGTCAGGATCGACGCCTTTCAGCAGGACTGGTCGAGGTGGGTACAGAGGTATAGGGTTCCTGTATTTCTTTCCTCCGGTTCAGCTGTTGCTCCAGGTCCTGGCTCATTTGAAGACTTACCAGGGGCGAGTTATCCTCTTGGCCCTGTGTTGGTCGGACCAGCCATAGTTTAAGGTGTAGCATGCCCGGTGTCTGAACCCCGGGGGTTTTCCGCGGCTCCACCCCTTGCAGAAGATCGGCCCGGTCCGTTACGAGACTGGTTCGCTCTTCTCCTCAAGTCATCATGTTTGGTATTTTTGACTCGAGCTTATCACCACTTGTATGGTGATCAGGTGGCCACGTTGATGGTGTTCCACCTTCGGGCTTCATCTCGGTGGCAGTATGAAGTTTCCTGGTGGTCCTTCCATTTCTTTTTTACTCTTCGTCGTTGTACTTCGCTTTCGGTTCGGGTGGTGTTGTCCCTTCTCTCGTGGTTGTTCCAGGACCATCATCTTATGTCGAATACTGTCGCCTCGTATCGTGCTTCTCTGGCAGAGCGGCCTCAGCTTGCTTTCGGTATAGGTGTTACTTCTGCACCATTTTGCAAGCTGTCTCATGCATTGTTTCACCTCCAGCCTGCTCATGCGCTGCCTGAGCCATCCTGGTCTTTGGACAGAGTGCTCTCCTATCTCTCCTCTCCTCAGTTTGTTGTGGCCCCTTCCGTTCAGGATTGTTTTTTGAAGGCTCTTTTCCTGTTGGCATTGGCATCTGGGGGTTGGGTCGGGGAGCTTCATGCTCTCCTCCAGCACAGGGGTTTCTGCTCTTTCAGTCGTGGAGATAGGTTTGTTCGTCTGCAGCCGTATCGTTCTTTTCTTGCGAAGAAAAAGACTGCTGCTTTCCGGAGGGAGTCCTTGGGTTGTTGATGCTTGGTTGGTCAGGCCGGGGGAGCATCATGTTTTATGTCTGGGTTGCAGCCCCCCCCCCCACCATTATTTGTATGCCACGGCTTCTGTGTCCGGGGACGCACTTTGGGTTGATTCGGTTTCCCTTCTTCCCTGTTCGTGGGTACAGGTCTCTTAGGTCATCCGCAGGGTTATTAAGTCTGGCCAGCCTGCGGTCTGTCCCCGTGCCCATGACGTTCGTAAGTTCGCTGCTCTTGGTGCCATTTTTGGGAACATGTCCTGGATTGACATTCGGGCATGGGGTTTTTGGCGGTCGAACAGGGTCCTGGCTGCACGCTACCTCGTGAACGTTCCTGGGCCTAGTCGGGCCTGTGTCGCTTTGGGTCGGCGGCTGTAGCCTGTTTCGACTTCGAGTTGAGGTGTGGAACACCGACTGCCTCTCGGGTAAGTCCCCTTCTTTCCTTAGTCTTTGGTGAAGACTAGCTCCAGGGAGTCGTAGGGGTTCCTCCCAGAAAACCAATGTTGAATGTAATGAAACACCATTTTCTGGGTGAATTCCAGAGGCTCCCCCGGCAACCCTCCCTCCTTCCAGTCGGCGGTTTTTGCGTCTTTTGATATCCAGCCTCGGAACTGAAGGTTTGGATCGCTGGCGTGGGGGTCTGGGGGGCTCCCCCTTTCCCTCCTGAGGAGGGGGGGGGGAGCTGTGCAGACATGCGGCGCGGCTCGAGTAATGTCATGCTCTTTTTGCTCGTTTTCCTTTGGGGAAGTTCTATCCACTTGTTTTGTTATTTTCGTTGGTTTCACCAGAATAGGGGTTTGTTTTGAGGTGCTTACCTTTCTGGATGCCTGGCCCGGTCGATGGCAGATATAGAATGCTCCAAAATCACATGTGCATTTCTATAGGCCATTGCTCCTTGTGCCTCTTTGAGGGGGCCAGGTTCTGGCCATGGTCCCCGGTAGGCCTAGAACTGCACCCCCATAGACTGATACTAAAAGTTAGGACTATCCCTATCAGCCTGGATAGCTCCGGGGAGCCGTAGGAGCTCCCCCAGAAAATATAATTTCATTTAGAAAATGGCGTTTCATTAAATTCAATGCTGGCTTTTACCACTTTCATGTTTACTGAGATAATAGGCCAGTTCTGTGTCCATTTAATATGGACACAAAAGTAAAATAAGCTTGAGGAAAATTAGTGCATAGAAGAGAAAGTAATGTAAATTTAACTTAAAGGCATTGAAACTGTAATGTAATGAAATAATATAAATCTGAAAAATCTGAAGAAATTTGTGTTACATGATTGAGTTTGGAATTAGGAGGTAAAGACTGTGACACAAGGAGTGATAGTGGTTACTCAGGATGGTTAGTCAGTCACTGTGACAATGGTAAGTCAGGATGGTTAGTCACTGGACTAGCAGATACAAATAGCGTGATGACGTTTGTGTGTTTAATTTTGGGGCAATTTTTAAATTAATTCAATGGTAGAGTTTCATAGAAAAATACGTTTGCATTGATATAGCTGAATTTATTTTCAGGTGCGTATGTGTGGAAGCAAGGAAGAGTGTTCTGCCGCTCAAGACATAATTGAAGTCTTACTGGGACGCAAGAAGGTGCAAGGACTCGAGTATTTTGTCGTGCATGTCGCTAGAATTAATGATGTCTTAAAACCATAAAAGAAAACTAAAATAGATTTTTCGTCCCTGTCTCTAACACTTAAACTGTGCAACACGTCATATGACGTGTTGAATAACTTACCCAAAATTGCGCATCACGTCATATGACGTGTTGGAGTACTACGCAAGATTTAAACGACCCGCAGATCCACGGGGTTCACCTCACCTTCATTAGGGCTCTTGTAAACTGACACCATTTAAAAAAAAAATCGTGGGGCAACATTCCCGGGTGTTAGGACCTCAGTACTGAGTGAGCCACCAAGGCTGGCGCACGCAGTATGAGCTCAGAGCACTGCTGTTCAGCTTGTCACCGCAGCATCGCCTAAAAATGTCAAAATATATAAGTACATGTTATTATTTAGCGATGATAGTATTACAGAAAACCCCTGACTGTGATAAAAATGACCAGGATTGTGATAATAGCAGGATTGTTGTAATAATTAGTGCTGTAGTGGGAGGAGTAATCTTGGTGGTCTACTGACTGTGTGTGACCACCTTTTACTGTCTGGACTCACTATACCAGCTTAGTGGTTCGCTATGGTGAACAAAACATACCAATACTTATATATAACATCTGCATATAGTGAATAAAAGCAAAAACAGTATGGTGGGAGGAGAATGTTGGTGAGTCAGGTGAGGTGAGGGAGTGGCAGCCAGTGGCTGGCTGCCACTGCCACTGTCACTGCCACTCAGCATACCAGCTTAGTGGTTCATTATGGTGAACACAAATGTAGATACTTATATATAACGTGAATATATAATGTAATAACAGCATATGGAATGTTGGGAGAAGCCATTTTGGTGAGGGAGGTGGCTACATCAGCATGACTTGTCATGCTGTGTAAGGGAGGCCACTATGCTCTTTGAGCACTATACTAGCTTAGTTGAACAGTTATGGTGAACAAAACTGTAGATACATATATATATGTGTGTATATAGGGTAATAACACCACAAACAGTATACTTGAAGGAGGAAAGTTAGTGTGTCTGGCCATGAACCAGGGAGGGAGGGAGGGAGCATCAGTTGTGTGTGGCCACCTGTTACTATCTGCCATCACCATACAAGATTAGTGGTTCGCTATGGTGAACACAAATGTATATACAGGTTCAGGTTCGAACCGGATGCAGATTCGAATCCTCGTCATGGCCCTTGTGGGTTTGTTCGTAGATACTGTACTTATATATAACGTGTGTATATATAGTGTAATAACAGCAAAAAGGGTGTTGTGAAAAGCCATTTTGGTGAGGGAGGTGGCATCATCTTCCTGACATGTCATGCTGTGTAAGGGTGGCCACTATGCTCTTTGTGCACTATACCAGCTTAGATGAACAGTTATGGTGAACAGAACATGTAGATACTTATATATAACGTCTGTATATAATAAATAAAAGCAAAAACAGTGTGAGAGGTTGGCTGGCAGATATGGTGGCCACTCCTCGTTGCTTTTTGACTTGCAATATCAACTTAGTGATTCGTTATGGTGTTATGGTGAATAAAACATGCAAATACTTATATATAACCTGTGTATAGTGTAATAACTGACAAAGTATTTGTTTATTGTTTTATGAACACAATAATTGAATCAATAATATGCACACCATAATTTTGAGTACAGTGATGATTCACACATTTTATTATATACATATATCACACTACACACTATTGAATAATATTACAGGAAAAAACGAAGAAAAAGTCAGTTAGAGACATTGAAATAATTAGGTAATTATATCTGTGTCGCAACTCCCGCCTGACAGCTGGGGCAAAGCAGACCACCTCGGATGCTTGCTGAGTCAGTGTTCTTTTGCCAGACTTTCCCGTCCTATTGCGGCCAAAATATGTCACTTACGATTTTTGTATTATTTTTCCTGTGATCAGGGAACACAAATTAACAGGTTACGATTTTTGTATTATGTTTCCTGTGATCAGGGAACACAAATTAACAGGTTTATAATAGAATTTTTTTTATTTTTTTTTTATTTTCTGGGGGGAGCCCCTACGGCTCCCCGGAGCTATCCATGGCTGATATGGATACCCTAACTATTTTGCATCAGTCGATGTGGGTGGAGTTCTAGGCCTACCGGGGACCACGAGCCAGAACCTGGCCCCCTCACAGAGGCACAGGGAGCAATGGCCCATAGAAATGCACATGTGATTGGGAGCATTCTATATCTGCCATTGACCGGGACAGGCACCCAGAAAGGTAAGCGCCACAAAACAAACCCCTATTCTGGTTAACAACAAAATCGACAAACGAGTGGACAGAACTCCCCCAGGAAAACGAACTAACAAGCATGACGTCACACGAGCCGCGCCGCATGTCTGCGCAGCTCCCCCCTCCCCGGGAGGGGGAAGGGGGAGCCCCAGACCCCCGCGCCGGCGATCCCCGCCTCAGTTCCTCGGCTGATGGGATCATGCACGGTCGTGTGGCTCCAGCTCCAGTCTTGTCTCTGTGCTGTGACTTGTTTTCAGTGCTGCTCTTACGGTGGTCGTGTGAGCTGGGAGTAGTATTCTCAGGTACTCGGGCTGAATGTGCTTAGGGTCACCTTCCCTGAGTGCCCTGTAAGTACTGCCCTTGGGGCTTGGGGTTGCCTTCCACAAGTCACCTTGGGTCTACCTCTGTTGGCTTTTCGCTGCTTGGGGTTTGGCCGCCCCGAGTGTTTCGGGGGTTGCCCCGTCCGGGGTAGCTGCGGAGGCATTCGAGTCTGTTCCTCCGGCCGATGCTCCGGGGTCTGACTAGTGGGCCCTTTCTCTTCCAGCTCTCTCAGCTGCCCCGGCCTTTTCTTGTGGGGCCGGGGCTTTGGAGGTTGACTCAGCCCCGGGGCCTGGTGTAGAGGCTCCTGGGGTTGGGGAGGAGCGGCCTTGGGGGCCTTGGGCTCCATTGTGCCCCGCCAGGATTCTGTCCTTCTGAGCGGGGCTTACTGTTGCGAGGAGTGGGGTTTTCTTTCCCCCCTCTGCGTACGATTTGGGCTTGGGTTCTGCTCCTCCCTGGGTTCGGTTTCGTGTCCCTGTGGTTTCTTCGGTTCCGTCTTCTGGAGCTTTTCGGCTAACCGCATCTCTTCGCCTGCGATGCGGCTTACCTCCTGCGTGTCCCGGAGTTTGCCTCCATACTGGTTCCTTCTGTTCTGGACAGGTTGGGCTCCTTGTTGCTGTTTGTGCTCCTTGTCGCTGTTTGTGCTCCTTGTCGCTGTTTGTGCTCCTTGTCGCTGTTTGGGCTCCTTGTCGCTGTTTGTGCTCCTTGTCGCTGTTTGTGTTCCTTGTCGCTGTTTGGGCTCCTTGTCGCTGTTTGTGCTCCTTGTCGCTGTTTGTGCTCCTTGTCGCTGTTTGTGCTCCTTGTCGCTGTTTGTGCTCCTAGTCGCTGTTTGTGCTCCTTGTCGCTGTTTGTGCTCCTTGTCTCTGTTTAGGCTCCTTGTCGCTGTTTGTGCTCCTTGTCGCTGTTTGTGCTCCTTGTCGCTGTTTGTGCTCCTTGTCGCTGTTTGGGCTCCTTGTCGTTGTTTGTGCTCCTTGTCGCTGTTTGGGCTCCTTGTCGTTGTTTGTGCTCCTTGTCGTTGTTTGTGCTCCTTGTCGCTGTTTGGGCTCCTTGTCGCTGTTTGTGCTCCTTGTCGTTGTTTGTGCTCCTTGTCGCTGTTTGTGCTCCTTGTCGCTGTTTGTGCTCCTTGTCGCTGTTTGGGCTCCTTGTCGCTGTTTGTGCTCCTTGTCGCTGTTTGTGCTCCTTGTCGCTGTTTGTGCTCCTTGTCGCTGTTTGGGCTCCTTGTCGTTGTTTGTGCTCCTTGTCGTTGTTTGTGCTCCTTGTCGATGTTTGTGCTCCTTGTCGTTGTTTGTGCTCCTTGTCGTTGTTTGTGCTCCTTGTCGCTGTTTGTGCTCCTTGTCGCTGTTTGTGCTCCTTGTCGCTGTTTGTGCTCCTTGTCGCTGTTTGTGCTCCTTGTCGCTGTTTGTGCTCCTTGTCGCTGTTTGTGCTCCTTGTCGCTGTTTGTGCTCCTTGTCGCTGTTTGTGCTCCTTGTCGCTGTTTGTGCTCCTTGTCGTTGTTTGTGCTCCTTGCCGCTGTTTGGGCTCCTTGTCGCTGTTTGTGCTCCTTGTCGCTGTTTGTGCTCCTTGTCGCTGTTTGTGCTCCTTGTCGTTGTTTGTGCTCCTTGTCGCTGTTTGGGCTCCTTGTCGTTGTTTGGGCTCCTTGTCGCTGTTTGTGCTCCTTGTCGTTGTTTGTGCTCCTTGTCGTTGTTTGTGCTCCTTGTCGCTGTTTGGGCTCCTTGTCGTTGTTTGGGCTCCTTGTCGCTGTTTGTGCTCCTTGTCCCTGTTTGTGCTCCTTGTCGCTGTTTGTGCTCCTTGTCGCTGTTTGGGCTCCTTGTCGCTGTTTGTGCTCCTTGTCGCTGTTTGTGCTCCTTGTCGCTGTTTGTGCTCCTTGTCGTTGTTTGTGCTCCTTGTCGCTGTTTGTGCTCCTTGTCGTTGTTTGGGCTCCTTGTTGCTGTTTGTGCTCCTTGTCGCTGTTTGTGCTCCTTGTCGCTGTTTGTGCTCCTTGTCGCTGTTTGTGCTCCTTGTCGCTGTTTGTGCTCCTTGTCGCTGTTTGTGCTCCTTGTCGTTGTTTGGGCTCTTTGCCGCCGGTTGGGCTGCTTGTCGCCAGTTGGGCTGCTTGTCGCCAGTTGGGCTGCTTGTCGCCGGTTGGGCTACTTCTCGCCTTGTTGGGCTCCTTGTAGCCGGTTGGGCTACTTCTCGCCCTGTTGGGCTACTTCTTGCTTTGTTGGGCTACTTCTCGCCTTGTTGGGCTACTTTTCTTTCGTGCCCTGCGTATGCGCTGTGGGAGTTTGTTTTGGTTCCGGGCGGTGTGTACACGTATTCTGCATCCATTTTCTCTCGGGGGGGGGGGGGGGGGGGGGGTGTTTCGCCTCTCGCTCTTAATCCAATCCATGCCCCGTTGCTTTGGGGGTGCAAGCCTATGACGCAAGCCAAAGCCAAAATAATATAAGCCAAAGAATAAAAATAAGGCCTCTACCCTTATGTGTTCCTGCCTTTTCATACAACATATATTTGTGCCTTTGGTGGTAGTTTATTCTGTACTGTAGTTGCATTCTGGGGGTTTGTTCCACTGTTGCCTACTCCAGGAACATTTGTTCAGTGAGGTTTGCCTGTAGTTTATATAGTTGTACCACGAGTAAAAATGTAACAGTGATATTAATTAATCTTATTTTATACCAAACAGAATGATGATTCATCCATAATTTCAATAGAGAAGAAACAGGTTGGAAGAATCGTAGGATGCAATGGGGCTACCATTCAAGAGATACGGAGACGTTCGGGGGCAACTGTGCGAATTATCCCTAACGATAATGGTGCCGAGGTATGTGTGTTGTTTTTTCTTGAAGGAAAGATGAGTTGCATGTACTAGTCAATACCCAACTCTATTGTGACAAGCTTTAGGAGTGTGTAAAATATAATATTTTAAAAGCAGAAATATAAGTTGTGATGACCAAACCATGCATCTTTAAGGTGAAGAAACGATGCCGTTTTTTCACTTACGTCTACAAACATCCAAGTGGTTGTTTATACATAATAATTTGAAAACTTAAATGTGTGTTGTAATATTGTTCAGTACTAGACAAAGTAAGACTTTGCTAGTTAATATTTTATGATCAACATTGTGTGAGAATGACTAGAAATAAAGTCATTTGAAGAAATTGGAAATTTGGAAATTTCCAGTTTGGCTGGAAATTTGGCCCCAGATTTGGAAACCTGGGGCCAGATTCACAAAGCAGTTACGCAAGCATTTACGAACCTGTCCATCTTTTCTCAAACTTTGGCGGCTTTGTTTACAATTATTAAACAGTTAATGAGCTCTGAAGCACCAGGAGGCTGTTTATAACAATAACAACAGTTGATTGGAAAGTTTTCATGCTTGTAAACTGTTTAATAAATGTAACCAAAGCCGACAAAGATTGAGGAAAGATGTACACGTTCGTAAGTACAGTACTTGCTTAACTGCTTTTGAAATCTGGCACCTGTTCAGTATTGCAGTATGTAAGTAGAGCTGAGAAAAGCTCCGTAGCATTGGGAAAATATATTTTTACCACTTTCATGTTTATTGAGATTATAGGCCAGTTTTGTGTCCATTTAAATATTAATAGCTTGAGGAAAATTAGTGCATAGAAGAGAAAGTAATGTAAAGTTGACATAAAGAATTGAAACTGTTATATAAATAATATAAATCTAAAGACATTTGTGTTACATGATTGTGTTTGGAATTTTGGAGGTAAAGACTGTGGCACAAGGAGTGATAGTGGTTACTCAGGATGGTTAGCTAGTCACTGTGACAATGGTAAGTCAGGGTAGTTAGTCAGTCACTGTGACGGTAAGTTGGGATGCTTAGTCAGTCACTGTGACAGTCGTTACTCAGGATAGTTTGTCAGTCACTGTGACAATGGTAAGTCAGGATGGTTAGTCAGTCACTGTGACAGTCGTTACTCAGGATAGTTTGTCAGTCACTGTGACAATGGTAAGTCAGGATGGTTAGTCAGTCACTGTGACAATGGTAAGTCAGGGTGGTTAGTCAGTCACTGTGACAATGGTAAGTCAGGATGCTTAGTCAGTCACTGTGACAGTCGTTACTCAGGATAGTTTGTCAGTCACTGTGACAATGGTAAGTCAGGATGGTTAGTCACTGGACTAGCTGATACAAATAGTGTGATGACGTTTATGTGTTTAATTTTGGGCCAATTTTTTAATTAATTCACTGGTAGAGTTTTATAGAAAAATACGTTTGCATTGATATAGCTGAATTTATTTTCAGGTGCGTATGTGTGGAAGCAAGGAAGAGTGTTCTGCGGCTCAAGACATGATTGAAGTCATACTGGAACGCAGGACTGTGCAAGAACTCCAGGATTTTCTCATGCATGTTTTTATAAACGATGAATTCCAAAAACTACAAAAGATAATTAATGGAGCAGGTATTTTGCCCCCAGCAGTAAATACATACAAACAAATTCTCAGCAGGAGCAGGACATGGTATAATAAATATTTTAGAAAATTTCGTAGTGGAAAGAAAATCGTTATTAGAAAACAATTAAGAAGGGACATTAGACAATTAAGTTTTAGAAATGGTGACATAGACTCGTCTCTTCGCCACCTTATCAAATTTAAAAGTTTTCTGGATAGAAAATGCGTACCTAAGGAAGGAAACATACGTAGCTCTTTAAGGCAAGTCTCTATTGTTGTTATTGGAAAAGCAGAGTATGGTCCAGGACGAAATATCCACGAGAAAATTCAACAGATGTTTAAAGACGTAGAAGCAACTAGTGGCGATGTAATTCCGGAAGAAATGTGCAGCCACATTGTGGACGTACTGCAGCCAGTGTTTGCCCCGGTACTGGAGAGCCTTGACATGCTTTTGCAATATGCTCAGCATTATCAACAATCAGCATTCGGCAAAGAGCTAGCAAGACAAAACGATAATCAAAGGAATATCTCGCAGAATGAAGGTGTAGAAAAAGTTAAGCTAGGTAAGAGCGAGAGAGGAAATGTGCATCAAGGAAATGTTCCTGAAGGAATTACAGGTCAAAATGAGGAAGGGATTATGCTCACAAAGATAAAGACAAACAAAGGTAAAAATATGGCTAAAAAGAAGAGACTTACAGGACGTGCACCAGAAAATTGCTCGCCTGGAAATCAAGAAGAAGAAGGAGAAGGAAATATTAATATAATTACAGAACAAAGTGCAGAAGAAGAGGGAAAGGAAAAAACAACAACTGAACAAAATAGTCCAAAACAGACCATAAAAGGGGCGGCAAAACCAGTCAAAGAAAAGAAGAAAACCGCAAAGAAAAATATGGGAGGACAGGCAAAAAAGAAAAGTAATGTTAAACAAATTGAAGGTGAAAAGACAATGATGAATAATGCTACAAAACAAAATGGAAGAACGCGTGCGTCCAAAAATTGCTCGCCTGGAAATCAAGAAGAAGGAGAAGGAAATATTAATAAAATTATAGAACTACGTACAGGAGAAGAGGGAAAGGAAAAAATTACCAAACAAAATAGTCCAAAACGGACTATAAAAGGGGCGGCAAAACCACTCAAAGTAAAGAAGAAAACCCCTAAGAAAAATATGGGAGGACAGGCAAAAAAGAAAAGTAATGTTAAACAAATTGAAGGTGAAAAGACAATGATGAATAATGCTACAAAACAAAATGGAAGAACAAGAAAAGTGAATAAAAATGGATTAAGTGCACCGGAGGAAGTGACAGGAAATGCACCTGTGGAAATGACCGGCAATGCACCTGTGGAAATGACCGGCAATGCACCTGTGGAAATGACCGGCAATGCACCTGTAAAAATGACCGGCAATGCACCTGTGGAAATGACCGGCAATGCACCTGTGGAAATGACCGGCAATGCACCTGTGGAAATGACCGGCAATGCACCTGTAAAAATGACCGGCAATGCACCTGTAAAAATGACCGGCAATGCACCTGTGGAAATGACCGGCAATGCACCTGTGGAAATGACAGGCAATGCACCTGTGGAAATGACCAGCAATGCACATGTGGAAATGACTGGCAATGCACCTGTGGAAATGACAGACATTGCACCTGTGGAAATGACATGCAATGCACATGTAGAAATGATAGACAATGCATCTGTGGAAATGACAGACAATGCACATGTGGAAATGACCGGCAATGCATCTGTTGAAATGACAGGCAATGCACATGTGGAAATGACCGGCAATGCACCTGTGGAAATGACCGACAATGCACCTGTTGAAATGACCGGCAATGCACCTACGATAAATCAATCAAGAGGAAATGCAGCAGGAGCTCCAAAGAAGAAACGGAAGAAGTGCATGTGCTGGAAACTTGGCCAGCAGGTGTGTAAGAAATGTTTAAGGAAGCGAAAAGTTAGTCATGTATACAATCGAATTCCAAGATGGAGCAGGATATGGCATAATAAATATATTCAAAAATTATAATTCCAACTGGAATGCAAGAATGTGACCAAGCATTCCAACTGGAATGCAAGAATGTGACCAAGCATTCCAACTGGAATGCAAGAATGTGACCAAGCATTCCAACTGGAATGCTATGTTTGAGAACTAATAATAAGTTATTGCAGTTTACTTCTTCTATGTTAAAGATAAATACAACAGAAAATAATAAATGTTAATAAAATTGTTTTTTATTTATTCAAAGTTAAAAGGGAGGGTTAATTATATATGCAGAATATTGTATCTTTGGTTGCTGTCTTGGAGTAATGGTAAACATTTTACAGAGACAATGTGTCAATTTTAGGAAACCTATAATTCCACAAACTCATTAAAGTTGTTTGTTCATATTTAAGTATATAAAGTATAATATTACCCTGATGAAGTCTGTTGTTGCCCTGACTAGCTGCGTGTTGATTCTGAATCCTAGAATTTATACCTGCTGCGTCGATTTTTAAGTGAATGTTCTCCCGACCGTCACAGCTGTAAAGTTACTTGAAATGTTGCGTGCCAAGACTGGGGTTCCAGCACTGTTGCATCCCATACCTGGCTAATGTATCACTGTTTACAGTGTGTAAGATCTAGTCTTTGTATTTTTGCATTCTAACTATATGTGCCTGGTTTGTTGAAATTTATGTTCAGTCTCAATACACACAGAAATCTCAATAGCGTGATACATCAAGGTGTATCCGGGTGCATTGGGGAATTGTGTAAAACCTTTGTTTGTGTCTCGGGAGAGGCTGCAGGATCCGTGTGAGGGCAGTAGCACTCCCAGTTGCAATTATTTTCCATGTCGTGGCACAATTGACTAAGGTGCGTCTGGGATTATCTTGGACGTAGGTTTGAACCTTCACCCTTGTGAATTTGTTGTCTCAATGTTTGGATAGAGCTCATTTCCACTGTTGGTACTTTTAGTGCACTCTCCTACCGACCATCCTTGCTACACCTTATTACATGGGAATGCTACATACTGTACTTCTCTTTGGCTTATTTCTGTGTGTCGCTTCTAACCTTTTCCTACTCGCACTCAAACTGGGAAAGCTGTACTTGCCAACCTTGTCTGATCTCCTCAATATTTTCTATGTAGCGATAATATTCCCTATTGTCCATTCCTCTAGAGCTATTAACATCATGCCTCGGCCTCCTGGCTCAAGGTTTGCTCTCAAAGGGTTATTCTTGTGCAAACTTTTGGAGGTTTCTTTATATATTTTTGTGTTTAAACTACACTATCAGGGGATCCCAGCCTCTGTCAGGTCATTCCTCACTATTACCAGAAAATCTATAGCTTCCCACGCCACTTTCCCCTCACTTTAACTCCTCTCTTTACTATGGTATTTTCACATATTTATATAACTTGAAATTCAATATACAGTACTTCAATAATGATTTGAACAGTGAGTAATAACACCAAGAAGATGTATGATTGTAAATATTGTTATGAGCTCTGCCTGCAGTGAAGGGTCCCGGGAGTACAACCGGGTTCGTTCTCGCCGCACAGTTTAGAATTCCGGTTTCGAATCCTGGACGGGACAAAAATGGTTGGGCACATTTCCTTTCACTTAATGCCTCTGTTCACCTAGCAGTGAGTAGGTACTCAGGAGTTAGTCAGCTTGTTATGGGGTTGCTTCCTGGGCGGGGGTCAGTAATTCAGCCTTTGGGGGGACCTGGATAAAAGCCAAACGTGTATGAATACACTCTAGTTTCCTGTCTTCTGACACGATGAATTATCACCACTGCATTGTTATGTTTGATTACATTGAAAGAGAGAGTTGGAAACAGGACAACCTACCTTGAGGTTACCTTGAGGTGCTTCCGGGGCTTAGCGTCCCCGCGGCCCGGTCCTCGACCAGGCCTCCTGGAATAAGGCAAGGAATAAGAGAGAATACAGAAGAGGGGATTACAGGAGGGTAAGTGATTATCTGCAGGAGACTAACGGAAGGTAAGTCAGCAAACGAGATTATGAACTTATGACACAGAAATCCAAAGCTGGAAGAGAAGAGTTCTTCCCCCTCAGGAGAGAAGTGGACGAAAATAGAACAGTAAAGCCATGGATGATTCAACAGTGTAAGGAGGAAAAGGAGATGAGAAAGGAGGCATGGAAAAGTATAAGAACATGGATACAGAGGCAATAAAGAGGACCAGGAAAGAATACACAAGAATCAGGAGGGCAGCAATTTGAGAATGACATTGTGGCAAAAGCAGAGTCAACCTAAGCTACTATACAACCATCTTGAGGTTATCTTGAGTTGATTTCGGGGCTTTAGTGTCCCCGCGGCCCGGTCCTTGACCAGGCCTCCACCCCCAGGAAGCAGCCCGTGACAGCTGACTAACACCCAGGTACCTATTTACTGCTAGGTAACAGGGGCATTCAGGGTGAAAGAAACTTTGCCCATTTGTTTCTGCCTCGTGCGGGAATCGAACCCGCGCCACAGAATTACGAGTCCTGCGCGCTATCCACCAGGCTACGAGGCCCCTATGTACAGAGGAAAACAATGGTTGGAGACCATGTGATGAGACTGTTGCGACAGGGAGGAGGATGCATTACACTGTCTACAGCTGTGTCTGAAGATGAGGTCTCCATGCTTCAAGTGGGGTGCACCAGAGATTTGTACAGTTGTATAACCACCAGCCTAACCACTTGGGGTGGACGGTAGAGCGACAGTCTCACATCATGCAGGTCGGCGTTCAATCCCAGACCGTCCACAAGTGGCTGGGCACCATTCCTTTCCCCCCGTCCCATCCCAAATCCTTATCCTGACCCCTTTCCAGTGCTATGCAATTGTGGTGGCTTGCTGCTTTTCCCCCTTTTTGGTTTTTGCTTTTTAGATAAGCACCTCCAAAGGATACCTGATCAACCAGGCTGTGACTCATACGTCAGGCTGCGAGCAGCCGCGTCCAACAGCCTGGTTGACCAGTCCAGCAACCAGGAGGCCTGGTCGAGGACCGGGCCGCGGGGACGCTAAGCCCCGGAAGCACCTCAAGGTAACCTCAAGGTAACCCCTGATAATTCCCTTCCCTACCTTGAAGTCAAAGCTTAATTTTACTATTCCTAGGATTTGATTTACTTTTTTTACTGCGGCTCCACCGTGTTATGTAACTTTCAGTGCAACTTTACTGCGGCTCCACCGTGTTATGTAACTTTCAGTGCAACTTTTGATACGATTCTTGAAAAAGACTAAACCACAAGATGGAGAGAGAAGCAAGAACAACAGGAAGGTCGCTGGGCTGGGTACGGGAGTATCTGGTGGACAGGAAACAAAGGGTCATGGTCAGAGAGCATATATCAGACCGGAGAGGAGTGGAGAAGGTGTTCCACAGGCCTCTGTCCTCAGACTATTGCTGTGTTTAATTTATGTATATGACTTCACAGAGGGAGGGAGTGTATACATGGCTATGCAAGAACTGAACAGGAATAACACTGGAAGACAGAAGAGTAAGGGGAGACATGATCACTACCTACTAAATTATAAGCGAAATTGACAGGACGGACAAAGACAAACTGTTCAACACTAGTGGGACACGAACAAGGGGACACAGGTGGAGACTGAGTACCCACATGAGCCACAGGGACGTTAGAAAGACCTTGTTCAGTGTGGGAGTAGTTAATAGAATGCATTAGGCAGTGATGTGGTGGAGGCTGACTCCATACACAGTTTATAATGTAGATATGATAGAGCCCAATAGGCTCAGGAACCTGTACACCAGTTGATTGACAGTTGAGAGGCAGGACCAAAGAGCCACGGACCAAAGGAGTATGTATCCAGTGTGCTGTCCACTCAGCCACCAGTACTCGTCTAGTTGTGCTTGCGGGGGTTGAGCTTTGGCTCTTTGGTCCCGCCTCTCAACTGTCAATCAACTGGTGTACAGGTTCCTGAGCCTATTGGGCTCTATCATATCTACATTATAAACTGTGTATGGAGTCAGCCTCCACCACATCACTGCCTAATACATTCCACCTGTTAACTACTCCCACACTGAACAAGGTCTTTCTAACGTCCCTGTGGCTCATGTGGGTACTCAGTCTCCACCTGTGTCCCCTTGTTCGTGTCCACCCAGTGTTAAACAGTTTATCCTTATCTATCCTGTCAATTCCTCTGAGAATTTTGTAGGTGGTGATCATGTCTCCCCTTACTCTTCTGTCTTCCAGTGTCGTGAGGTTCAGCTCCTACAGCCTCTCCTCATAGCTCATACCTCTCAGTTCCGGGACGAGTCTGGTGGCATACCGCTGAATCTTCTCTAACTTTGTCTTGTGTTTAAGTAGGTATGGACTCCAGGCTGGAGCTGCATACTCCAGGATTGGTCTGACATTAGTGGTATACAGGGTCCTGAACGATTCCTTACACAAGTTTCTAAAGGCAGTTCTTATGTTGGCCAGTCTAGCATATGCCGCTGATGATATTCTCTTGATGTGGGCCTCTGGGGACAGGTTCGGTGTGATATCAACCCCCAGAACTTTCTGTGTGTGTGTACTCACCTAGTTGTACTCACCTAGTTGTGTCTGCAGGATCGAGCATTGACTCTTGGATCCCGCCTTTCGAGCATCGGTTGTTTACAGCAATGACTCCTGTCCTATTTCCCTATCATACCTGGTTTTAAAATTATGAATAGTATTTGCTTCCACAACCTGTTCCTGAAGTGCATTCCATTTCCCCACTACTCTCACGCTAAAAGAAAACTTCCTAACATCTCTGTGACTCATCTGAGTTTCAAGCTTCCATCCATGTCCTCTCGTTCTGTTACTATTACGTGTGAACATTTCGTCTATGTCCACTCTGTCAATTCCTCTGAGTATCTTATACGTTCCTATCATGTCCCCCCTCTCCCTTCTTCTTTCTAGTGTCGTAAGGCACAATTCCCTCAGGCGCTCTTCATACCCCATCCCTCGTAGCTCTGGGACGAGTCTCGTTGCAAACCTCTGAACCTTTTCCAGTTTCATTATATGTTTCTTCAGATGGGGACTCCATGATGAGGCGGCATACTCTAAGACTGGCCTTACGTAGGCAGTGTAAAGCGCCCTAAATGCCTCCTTACTTAGGTTTCTGAATGATGTTCTAACTTTTGCCAGTGTAGAGTACGCTGCTGTCGTTATCCTATTAATATGTGCCTCAGGAGATAGATTAGGTGTTACGTCCACCCCCAGGTCTCTTTCACGCGTCGTTACAGGTAGGCTGTTCCCCTTCATTGTGT